TCATGAATTAATAAAACCTGGGTTCAGCCCTGGGCCAAGGCCTTTGTTCCAGTTAGCTGGTGACCTTTTCACTGTAGGACCCCTTGGCTCCTCGTAACTACAGATACGCCTTAGTGTCTTTATTCTCGCCATGGGTTGCACTGGCGGTGGTAGATTGGAATTAACTTGCTAAAATTCCAGTAACTTTTCCATGGGATTACAAATACAAACTTCCTGGGCTGCAACAAGGACCAGGAAGGGCTCTCTGTAACTGCCCGAGTGACTGTACTTGTAATCTTATTGATTGGTTAGCGTTCTGTCCCACCCTAAGCCTGCCTCACTCATGCCTTTGCTCAATAAAATACCCTTGAGGAGCGGGGTCGGTGGGCGACCCACTTCCCGGGCCTCCTTCTGTCCCTCTCAAGGCTTTCTTTCTCTCAGATTCTTCCCGCTCTTAACCTCCATTGTTCCTACAATTCATTCTTTGATTTTAGAAAACATGAACTCAGCATTTTGGACATCCAGCAGGTTCATTGCCCTACATCAAGAACACAATAAGCGGGGGCTGGGGATTTAGCTTAGCGGCAAAGCTCCAGCCTGGCAAGCACAAGGTCATGAGTTGGATTCCTGGTACGGGAAGAAAAAAACAAAAACAACAACAAAAAAAAAAGAATACAATAAGCTGTGAATTGGGCTCTGGACCTGTACTTTTGGCCTGTAAATTACATTCCTTCCCTTGGACCTCTGCCCTGAAGAAAGCAGCAATATGAGCGGGCAGCAGATCATCACTTCACATCCATGGAAATTGCTTGCATTCCACCAAGGCCCACCACAGGGGAGCAGGCCAAGCCGCAAGAGCTCGCCTCCTAGAGCACCCACCTTGAGGACCTCAAACCCGCCAATGTGCGCAGCCGCACACCGTAAGGCACCTCTCTCTTGAAGACCCCGACTCTGTTCCTTTGAGTGCATACTTTAAATTTCTGCCTAATACATCTTTCATGCTTCTTACTGACACATCCAGAAAATTCTTTTTCTGAGACGGGAGTCAGTGAACCTGCAACTTACCTCTATGGGTACAGTAGGTTTTGGAAGTTCTCAGTGATACAGGGGAAATACCACTCCCAACCTGCTGGATGGCAGATATGCCGAGTTTGGGTTCCCCAAAACTGAACAATGAATTCTAGGAACAATGGGGGTTAAGAGTAGGAACAATTTATTGGGGGTGGGGGAGAGAGAAAGAGAGAGAGAGACAGCTCCTGGGAGACAGGAGGGGACCCGAGTGTGCTGCCCACGAGCCCACTTCTCAGAGGAAGTTTTACAGAGCAGAATCACGAGGTGGGCACAAAGTCACGAAATGGGCACAGTGTGGGTCAGAGCTATGATGAACCAGTAAGGTTCTAATACAGCCACTGAGGTAATGTTGATCTGTGGGGAGGCAGGTCACGGAGCAAGTGTGCATGCAAAGAACAAGCACCTTAGGAAGGGGTGGGCCAGGAGGGCCTGCTCACCCGCCGGGGTGACTGACATCCATCCAGACTTTATTGGACCCGGTGATGCCAATTATAGTATAATCTTCAATGTACTGTTTATCCCTTGGGGATGTCCTTATCTTGAGGCCTGGGATTCAGTGACGTACCTCCAGCCACAGTTGTGCTGTGTTTTCATCTTCTGCCCTGACTCCCCCGAGGGCCCAGCCCTGTCTGCCTGCCTGGAATATTTCTACCTAACTTAGCTGTGTGTAATATTTCCCTTTCTGAAGAGGTAACCCTAACTGCCATGAGGAGGCAAGGGGTGGTGACTGTTCTTACTGCTTCTGGCTGAGGCGGGCCATGGCTGTGACTGGCAGCCAGCGATACTCCACAGAGAGGCTGTCCAAAGCCCCTCGATAGACGGCAGGCATTCTCCTCGTGGGTAGGCATACAGCTCCAAGTACGGAAGAGCAACGGCTAAAGCGACAGTTAAGTGTGCGCGGCCAAATGGTGAGCCTCTCTGGCTGCTTCCTGAGGGAGAGTTACCTGCTCACAGCCCAGTCTTTCAGCCTTGATTGCCTTTTCCTGGTGGAAAGATGGCAGAGTTTCAGGAGGAACATGTCCTTATTTGAATGGCTGGGCCTTCTAGAAGTAGAGTCTGGTATTTAAGAAGTCCATTGTCCGAGAGCCATAGGTTCCTTTTGGAAGAAAGAAGTCCTGTTACACTGAGAGGTGTACGTACAGTGAGATCTTTGCTGAAAGTCAGCCTGGATGCCTCGGAACCAGGAGAGCTGCGGCAGCCCCAGCTCTAAGGCACACAGGCCGTCTCTTTGCTACAGTGTCTAATCCGTGACACAGATGCCCTGTTGAGCAGATTCTTGACCCTGTGTAAGTATTCCCAAAGCCATGCCCTGCCTTTCATCAACATACAGATTGAAGATTTTCTTTTTATTTTTTGGGTTTTTTTTCCAGTACCGGGAATCGAACTCACGACCTTGCGCTTGCCAAGCAGGTGCTGTGCCGCTGAGCTAAATCCCCAGCCCAATGTACAGATTGAAACCATGTCCTGACATAAGTTCAGTGCTGGGGCATTCAGAAGTGCTTGTTGAAGCTTCTGGAATGCACTTTGGGCATCAGGTTTCCAGGTTAAAATATGAGTATCTACTTTTTCAGCTTCCTTTATGAGCTGATACAGGGGTCTTGTGATCTCACTGTGCCCTACTACCAAAGGTGACAAACACCTGTGATTGCTAGGAACCCCTCAGCTGTTTTAGGGTCTTGGGCTTTGGGAAGGAAAGTACTGGTTTAAGTCTCTCTTCCCCCAGCCTTCAGGTTCCCTTGGATATAATAAGGCCCAAGTATTTTACCTCAAGCCTGCAAAGTTGTGCCTTAGACCTAGAGATCTAACCTCTGCCTGCTAGAAAATTCAGCAAAGCACGAGTGCCTTCACGAGAGAGTTCCGCAGCACTGTATCCCCTGCATACTGCAGGACTGTGGCTTGGGAAGATTTAAAACACACCAAGTTGGGGCTGGGGATTTAGCTCAGTGGCAAAGCGCCTGCCTGGCAAGCACAAGGTCATGAGTTTGGTTCCCAGTACCGGAGAAAAGCAAAACAAAACAAAAATAAATAAATAAAACACACCAAGTAATGGGAAAGCATTTTCCAAAAAGATGAGGGCTGTCTCTGAACCCTTGAGGAAGCACAGTCCAAGTGAGTGGAGAGGCCTGGTCATGAGGATTTTCAAAGGCAAAAGGCAACTGGAAATCTGTGTGCAAAGGAACACAAAAGAAGGCATCTTTTAAGTCTAACACTGAAAACCGGCCGGCATCTTCTGGGATCCGAGAAAGGAGAGTGCAGGGGTTAGGAACCACCAGGTGGATTGGCACTACGCCTCGTTTACCAGTCTAAGGTCCCGCACCCACCTCCACTCCCCACTGGGTTTCTGAGCTCCCAGTCTGGAGAGCTGCAAGGGCTGTTACAGGGCACAAGTAAACCTTGTCTCTCAGTTGTCGATTTGTAGGCAACAGTCCTTTCCTAACTTAAGGCTTTGGAGGGTGTTGTCTCTGGTGAGGAAAAATAATGGGATCTTTAAGATGTATTTGCACCAGGGCAGCTCTTATTGTTCTTTTCATTTCGCCTTTAGCTCCCCATACTTTAGGATTTAGTTTTCTCTACGAGAGGGGAGCAGCATATCTGACCCGGGTACAAATACATTACAGTATTTAAGCAAGATATCTCTCCCCAGGAAAAGAACTGGACTCTTTCAGGCATAATCAAAAAGGAATGGGGGGCGCTGGGGATTTAGCTCAGTGGCACAGCACCTGCCTGGCTAGCGCAAGGTTGTGAGTTCAAGTCCCAGTATCAGAAAACAAAACAAAACAAAAAAAAGGAATGGGGCAAGCTAGGCATGGTGGGGCACACCTGTAATCTCAGTACTCAGGAGGCTGAGGCAGGAGGATCACCCTAAGTTTGAGGCCAGCCTGGGCTACATAGTGAATTCAAGGCCAGCCTGCACTACATAGTGAGACCCTGATTCAAAAAAAAAAAAAAAAAAAGGAATAAGAAAAAAGAAAACCATCCCAGTTACAGCATAAGGGTAGTGAGAAATACCGAGTTACCTCCTCTCCAGTGACTCTTTCCACTGAAGTATAGTGGCTGGAGAGAAGGCCAGGTCATCATGACTACCCAGGGCTCCTTCATGAAGATGACAGTCCAGCTGGAGGGAGGAGGTAGAGAGTGCCCTGGGCCCTTCAGTCTTGCTGGACCAGCTGGTAAGATGGGTCTGAACTCCAGTGCCCCTGCCGTGACGACTTTCAGTGGTCATCTTTGCAATCAAGGCATGGTCTAGGGCGTCTCTTCATGTGCCAGTTCTTACCACAGCCCCTGCTGAGATGGGCTGGCTTTCTGCAGTGGCAGCAGGTGAGGTTAGCTGTCCAGCTCCTCTTGGAGCCCCGAGAATCAGACTTAGAGTCTATTCCTTTTAAGGCCACAGTCCAGGCAGCCGCTTTCTCGTGGTTTCTTTGTTTTCTCCCCTTGGCCTCCTCCTGGTCTCAATTACAAAATACTGAGGAGGCAAGGGGCCAGGGGGGGGGGGTGGTGGTGCAGTGCCTGCCTGGCGGGTGCAAGGTCCTGAGTTCGACTCCCAGTACCCACCCCCCAAAAATACCGAGGAGGCAATCCTTTCTAAAGTATCAAGTGAGCTACCTGGAGCAAAAGCCATCTTTTGTAGCTTTTTCCTACTACCTGAAGCTGACTGGGTAATAAATTTGTCTCTAAGAATAATCCATCCTTCTACTGAATCAGGAGCCTGGGATGTGTTTCATCAGAGCCTCTTATAAACAATCTCAGAGGACAGAGGGGGGCTCACCTGTGTCTTCATGAATAGCTGACAATTTAAAATAATTGAAGGGCTTAGTTTTCATCCTTCTTAGACCCTCAGGAACACAGATCTGGCTCCTATTCCAATCTCCCGTCTGGTTGTTAGGTCAGCAGGGGTTTTGTGTAGGGACTGCGTGGGCTCCAGTGGGAACTGGCTGTTCTCCTGGCTGCCTGTCCCTTGGCCTTCTAAAATTGACAATATGAGCCTGGTATGGTAGCACATGCCTGTGATCTCAGCACCTGGGAGGCTGAGGCAGGAGGATCACTGTGAGTTTGAGGCCAACTTGAAGTACATAGTGAGACCCTGCCTCAAAAGAAAAAGAAACTAAAGTTAACAATACGATATTCATCTCCAAATGTAATAGCAACTTGTAATGCTGCTCGTCTCTCATGAGAAGTCAGTGTTTGACTTAAGAGTAAAGTACATCTTTCCAGTTTAGTTCATAGGGCTGGGTAAGGCCTCTACAGACCTCAATGTACTTATCAGGGTTGTCTGAAAACTTTCCCAGATCTGTTGATCTGCCTGAGGTCACTGAGAGGAGAGGACATGTGGACAGGGGAAGGGCCAAGTTCTCCACCACCTCCTGGAAGAGGCACTGTCCCTGAGGGGCTTGAACACGGTCAGATGGGGTCGGTGGAGCACAGCAGAGGCTTCGATTAAGGCTGGCTTGGAAGCCTCATCCTTACAGTCCAGAGGGCATGGCAGGGAACTCCCGGCTCTGTGATAGTGGATGAAGTTTTAAGGTTGCCTTGGAAACCGCATCCTCAGGCGCAAGAATAGTAGATGAGCCTTTGGTTAAGGTTCCCTTGGAAACCTCATCCTTAGGGTCCAAAGGGCACAGGAGGGAACCGCAAGCTCAGTGATGGTGGAGGCATCTGACTGCACCTGAAGGCCCAGAGGTGTCTGGTCTCCCTGTGGCTCACATTTGCATTTTGGTTTTTTTTGTTGTTTGTTTGTTTGGTACCGGAAATCGAACTCAGGACCTTATGCTTACAAGGCAGGCACTGTGCCACTGAGCTATCTCCCCGGCCCTGCATTTTGAACACAAGTAAGGATGATCTCTTAATACAAAGACAGTCTGGACATCAGGTAATTCTGGCCATTGTCCCTCTCTCTTACTGTACAGTTCTAGTTGTAAAGTAGCATCATAATCAATACTTCCCTCCGCATTCCATTTTGCTTCTAGCGGGTAGGCTGGCCATGCACAGGCACAGAAAAATATTAAGCAGTTCTTTTTCAATATGTAAGGGTCAAACAATTTCCAGGCTTAAGAATACATTCCAGAGCAGTAAGAGAATTTGGCATTGAGCTTCCCTGCTGTAAAACAACAAGGGGAAAGTAGGCGTCCCTTGTAATCCCTGCTTGGTCTCTATGTCCTCTCAAGCTGTCCCCGAGGTGACCTGCTCCAGAGCAGGTGGCTGCCATGAGGAGAGTGACTGCAAGATAGGCTGAGTCAGACTGGCCACCTGGACCAACCCACACCTTTGCCTTCTCTGGAGACTCCCACTCCTGCCTCCAGCATGTGCTTCCAAAAACACAAGCTACAACTGCTGCCACCTGTAAGCCACGTTTAAAGAAGGAAGCTTTTTTTTTGGTCTTTTTGAGACAGGGTCTCTCTATGCAGTTCAGGCTGGCCTTGAGCTCACTTTGTAACCCAGGCTGGTCTCAAACTAGCAACAATCCTCCTGCCTCAGCCTCCCGAGTGCTGGGATTACAGGCGTGCACCACCACACCCAGCTTAAGAAGGAAGCATTGCTAGCAACGTTAAACCAATAGTCAAGAGACCTGAACGACTGCATTCCAATTCTTTCAAAGAGAGTGAGGGAGAAACTCAAAGGCAGATTGGAAGTGGCTGGAGCACTTCCCAACCTGAGAAAGAGATCACTCCAGAGACAGGGACAAGAAAAGGCTCAGAAAAATCCTGCCCTGGGCCCGAGGGCAAAGAAATCTCTAAGACGTTTGTGCTGTCTACCTAGTGACTGAGGCAGTCTTCCTTAGCAGTAAGATAAAGCAAAGTTTTACTCAAAATCCACTCCTAAGTTTCTGTCTCTTTTTCTGCAACACATTTGTGAACCGCACAGGTTAAAACTTGTACACATTGTCCAGCAACCATAACGTACGCATTAGCAAATCACTTCCCTGCTGCACACACATAAATGATGAGAAGCAGGCCCAGGAGGGAAGAGAGGGCCAGGAGGATTCTCCCTTTTTTTGTTGGTCTTTTTGTTTTGTTTTTTCTCCCATACTGGGAATCGAACTCACGACCTTGTGCTTGCCAGGCAGGCGCTGTGCCACCGAGCTAAATTCCCAGCCCCCTCTCCCTTAAGCTGAATGTGTATTGGTCCCTTCAACACTGTGCTTGAGGAAACAGCTCCTTCTGGTCTCACCCAGATTGGTCTTTCCACAGGGTTGCAGGTTCAGTTTCCCCTGCTCAGGAGACGACCCAGAACATGTGAGCAGGGACATCCTCATGTGTGCTCTCCTGGACAGGCAAAATTCCAGAGGCAGGGTGCATGCTCCCCACCTGAGCTGACTTCCCTGCTAGGTGTTAGCAAACGCTGGATTTCTATGGGCTCAACCTAAACGATCTTAGTTGTTGCTAAGGGAGAGGTTGATGTTGGTGGTGCTGGGGATCGAACCCAGGGCCTTCTGCATGCAAGGCAAGAGCGCTACCACTGAGCCACACCCCTCAGAGGGAGAGGGTGAGATCATTCAGGATTCCTCCCTCTTTGCTCTTTAGTAGAAGCATCCCTTCAAAAAGAAATTTTAAGAAAAGGAAAGTAGGAGGTGACGGGAAAAGATCCGAAACGAGATTGTCTTTTCTTCTTACACTGATGGGGAGTAATTGAGACAATGTACCCGAGTCTTCCCCTCAGCCTGGAAGGATGAGCGTAAGGACTCTCAAGAGCTGAGATGGTCTCCTCACCCGTGGAAGGTCAGACCTGCCAGGAAGCTGAGGCAGAGCAGCCTCAGCATTTCCTCCAGAGTGTGGAGGGGGCTCAGGCCCCCTGTCCAGGGAAACCTGCCCGCCAAGTCCTAAGAACGGCTGCCAGCCTATCGCCTTTTGACTGGCAGAGTCCTATGATTTATTAATAGATATGTATACTTTCTAAATATAAACCACATTCCATAGAAATCCATTTTACAGCGTTTCATAAATTCACATTTTGGTTAGTATCAAGGTCCACCAGGGGGCGCTCTAACATTACTCTTCCCTAGAGCTGCTAGCTAAAATAAGACCACAAACCACACAGCAGCCAGAATGAGTCCAACGGGTCACGCAAGGGGCACCAGTAAGTTCAGCAACTAGCGAGTCCAACGCAGCAGGTACAAACAGGAACACAAGACCTTGCCTGCAAAAGTAAAATGTCCCATCAAAGAAACATCATAATCGTCCCATGTTCTCAACTTAAATTTGTCGTTTGAACAAAAGTAACTCGTAAAAAGACCAGACATAAGCTGCACTGTTGGTGAGAATGTAAACTAGTACAGTACAACCACTATGGACTCTGCACGGACGTTCCTCAAAAACCTGAAACTAGAAATTCCACTTGGGCTGGGCATGGTGGTGCACGCCTGCAATCCCAGCACTTGGGAGGCTGAGGCAGGAGGATATTTCGAGTTTGAGACCAGCCAGGGCTACAAAGTGTGCTCAAGGCCAGCCTGAACTGCATAGGGAGACCCTGTCTCAAAAAGACAAAAAAAAAAAGAAAAGAAATTCCACTTGACCCAGCTATTGCCCCTTCTAGGTTTCTTCCTAAAAAGATAAAGACGGGGCTGGGGATTTAGCTCAGCGGCAAAAGCGCCTGCTTGGCAAGCGCAAGGTCGTGAGTTCGGTTCCCGGTACCGGAGAAAAACCGAAAAACCTAAAAAGATAAAGACATCGTGCTGCAGACACATAGGCAGACCCATGTTTATAGCAACGCAGTTCGTGATACCTAAATCTTAGGAGTAGACTGTGTGTCCGTCAGCAGATGACCGGACAAGGAAAATGTGGTATTTACACACAAGGAGTGTACTCTGCAGTAAAGGAAGATAAACTTGTGTCTCTGGTAGGAACATGGCTGCACCTTGACATAGTTAATGTCAAGTGAAACAAATCAGACACCAAGCTTAAATACCTCATGGTTTCCCTTACACGAGAAAGCCAGAGTGAAAATAAGGAACAAAATAAAAGGTAGGTCATAGGAGGTAAGGAGACAGGTAGTTCTCAAAGGGGAAGGGGGGCGAGAGATGGGGTGGGGAGGGCGGGCAGGGGTAAGGGATGGAAACATAGCTGTGTTGTGACAGGGGCCACTTCCAGACACGAAGCGTAAAGAGGGCTGCAACACGTGCAAAAAAAAGGCACGTGATCAAGAGGTGGCTGGAAGGGGCTGGGGATTTAGCTCAGCAGCACAGCGCCTGCCTGGCAAGCGCCAGGTTTTGAGTTCGATTCCTGCTACCGGAAAAAAACAAACAACAGCAACAAAAAAAAACCAAAAAAGAGGTGGCTGGAATGAGGAGGAAGAAAAGAGATTTAAAAGGTGTTAAGTGTATTATGTACATGTGCTGATTTCCCACAAGGATTACTGCATGCATGTACTAATAAAATAAATTGGAAAAAAATTCAAGGCATAAGCAATTGACAAACAAGGATGACAATTTCTGATTACCTGAATTAGTCACAAACCAGAATCCATGAAACAAAAGCAAACTCTCAGGGCTGGGTATTTAGCTCAGCAGCACAGCGTCTGCCTGGCAAACACAAGGTCGTGAGTTCGATTCCCAGTACTGGAAAAAAAAAAAAAGGCAAACTCTCACCTCCTCCCAATGATCTCACTGGGACCTCCAAATGGTACAGGGGAAATAATATAGTAACTCCCAACCCACTGGACGTCAGATACACTGAGTTTGTGCTTCCCAAAATGGGAGAATGAATTCTAGGAACAATGGAGGCTCAGAGCAGGGAAAATTTATTGAGAGAGAGAGAGAGAGAGACAGCTCCTGAGAGACAGGAGGGGACCTGAGTGTGCTGCCCATGAGCCCACTTCTCAGAGGAAGTTTTACAGAGCAGAATCACGAGGTGGGCACAAAGTCACGAAATGGGCACAGTATGGGTCAGAGCTATGATTACCCAGCAAGATTCTAATACAGCCGCTGAGGTAATGCTGAGCTGTGGGGAAGCAGGTCATGGAGCAAGTGTGCATGCAAAGAACAAGCACCTTAGGAAGGGATGGGCCAGGAGGACCTGCTCACCTGCCAGGGTGATTGACGTCCATCTGGACTTTACTGGACCGGGTGATACCAGCTACAGTATAATTCTTCAATTTCTTCATCCCCTGCGGACCCCAGAGGCCCGGTTATTCCGTCTCTCTCGTGAGGCCTGGGCTTCAGTGATGCGGACCCAGCCACAGTTCTGCCCTGACTCCCCTGAGGGCCCAGCCCTGTCTGCCTGCCTGGAATATTTCTACCTAACTTAGCTGTGTGTAATACTAAGGCCCTGTTTGTGACAGTGGCACACACTTGGAATCCCAGCCACCCAGGAGGCTGAGGCATGAGGACAACTTGAGCCCAGGAGTTGAAGACCAGCCTGTACAGCGTAGTGTGACCCTGTCTCAAAAGCACAGGGTCTGGCTGGGGGCGGCTCAGGGGACCAGCGTGTGCCCAGCATGTGCAGGGCCCTGGATGCAATCCACAGCACTGCTCGGAAGAGGAAGAGGAAGAGGAAGAAAAGGGGGAGGGGAGGGGAGGGGAGGAGGAGGGAAAGAAGAAGAACAAGAGGAGCAGGAGGAGAAGAGAAGGGGCTGGGGACATGGCTCAGCAGCACAAGCGCCTGCCTGGCAAGCACGAGGTCCTGAATTCGATTTCTGGTACAAAAAAAAAAAAAAGGAGAAGAGGAGAGACGACGAGGAGGAGGAAGAAGTAGGGAGAGAGAAGGAACAGGAGTTGGCCCTCAGGACCCACCATGCTGGGCCTCTGGTTTAAAGTTGAGGTCTCCTCCCAGGTGTGGTGGTGCGTGCATGCAATCCCAGCACTCGGGAGGCTGAGACAGGAAGATCACTGTGAGTTCGAGGCTAGTCTGGGTTCCATAGTGAGACCCTGTCTCAAACAAACAAAAAGAAAAAGACAAAGTTGAGGTTTCCTCTTCCCGCCTCCACACAGCCAGTCCAGGGACGCTCGCCTGCCCGCAAAGCCTGGTGGCTGGGGCGTCTCAGCGGCCACGTGTGACACGGGGCACGCAGACCCCCGGTCAGCCCTGCTTCGGCCGTATTTCAGCATAACTTAGTTTTATTCCCAGCCCTGCACACCTAACGCCAGGGATGTGCTCGGAGAACCGTGTCACTGGGGGATCGCTTGTCCTCCAAAGCACTTGCATAACAAAGTGAATTCCCCATAAGAGGTAATGGAAATTCACACGACTCATTCCACAGCCCAAAAATATTCATGTAAAAATGATCACAACTGTAATAGGGTACAAAATAATAAAGAAACACAAAATACACAGAAGAATAAGTTCACCTGCCTTCGGCTTTGCGAGCCTTCCTGGCTGGCTAGAGGAGAGGAGCGGGAGGAGGGGCCCCGTGCAGGGGGCGTCACCGCCACTGACCGAGTCGCTGCTGCTGCTGCTGGCGCGGGAATCTTTCTTTTCCTGCAGCTGGGACGAGCCGCCTGGACAAGCAGCTTTCGCTTCCTCTTCAGGATTTGCAGAAATGCAACGTTGCATTGTTGTTAAACAGACTCATCGACCACACTGCCGCGGCCTTACTTGGGCGATGTTTTCTATAAAATGTTGGGGTTTCTGCGGTTTACACATCTCCTGTGAAGAACGGGCCCTCGGTCTACACCCCTCCTCCTCTGCAGAGGAGATCTCCCCACAGCCTCGTGCTGTAGGGAGCTGCTCACCCACAGGCCCGCAGCCAGAGCTGCAGGGAAAACCACCAGCTCAGAGGGCACCGTGCGACATTCAGTGGCATCTGCTGCTCATACGGCTGTGGACATCGCTCTCTTTGTTGTAGTTGTTGTGTTGTTGTTGTTTTGAGCCCGGGTCTTGCCCTGCAGTTCAGGTTGGCCTTGCACTCGATATGTAGTCCAGGCTGGCCTCAAGCTCACAGCAATCCTCCTGCCTCAGCCTCCCAAGTGAGACATCGCTCTTTTATCAAGTTAAAATTTGACACATTTGCTTGTCTTGCAGAACACTCGCAGATCAAGTTGCTCACAAATCCAAGGCTTTACTGTGTTTTGAACTGTCCTCCTTGCACACTTACACCCAAAGGGTTCAAACCAAGCCATTTCTGCTCTCTCAGGCGTTTGACGCCGATGGTTACTGATGCCCTGCGCTGGTTCCTGAGGCGGGGTTTACCCTCAGCCAGCTTCTGAGGAGGACTTTCACTCTCTGAAACCAGAGCTCAGGGAAGGGCGTCTCAGGCCCCTTCTCCTGGGAGGTTCTGCTCCTGTGGGGTTGCTTCCCTCACTGCCCTCAGCCCAGCCCATGGTTTCCCTGGGCCGGGGTTCCTCCATAGTGTGGGCTGGTTGGTACTTTCTTTTCTTTTCCTTTTTCTTTTTTTTTGAGACAGGGTCTTGCTATGCAGTCCAGGCTGGACTTGAGCTCACTTTGTAGCCAAGCCTGGCCTCAAACTTGAAGCAATCCTCCTGCCTCAGCCTCCCAAGGGCTAGAATTATAAGTGTGCACTACCACACCTGGCCACTTTCTTGAGATATGAGTGTGCAGCTTTTGTTCTCCTTGCTGTTTTGCCATCCTCCCCTATTCTGCGAATCCCAGGTGAATCCTCCCCCTTCTCCCTCCACCTGACCAGCGGGGACCTCGAATTCTCCCCACTGGGCCTTGAAGCAGGGGCAGGAGCTGCTCCCACACAGGACCACACCAGCTGGAGGCCTTGGGTCAAGGGCCCCGAAAGAAATTCGGGCTGGGAGCGCTGGCCTCGGGAGACGCCCATTCCCGAGTGTGGCCCCATCGCCCCTTGTGGAGGAGCTGGACCTCACAGGGTGACTGAGAGCCCGAGACTGACTCAGTCCCTGGGGACAGTCAGGGTCCCAGGCGGAGGGGACAGCAGCCCCCAGCAAAGCACCGGGCCATGCCTGGCTGCTCCCGGCAGATTCCAAACGCAGGCGACGAAGGCGACGCAGGCGACGGGGAAGAGAAACTGACCAGCTGAGGAGTCCAACTCCAGTGAGTGATACTTCCCACTTCC